ACATACAACTCGTTTCTCCATGTTCAATTCCGTGTCATTCCCCCCTCTGACATACATGCTGTCTCTTAAAGTGTCTGGCTCACCTTTCAAGTTGCTGTTGTCAGTCTGATCCCTTATAGAGCATCTGGCTAGTATATAGATGCTGGCTATAAGTACAATATATATATTTGCCAGCCTTTTCTTGTGTGTTGGGTTCACCCCACCAGCCTTTAGGTGAGCAGCCAATCACCAATTGCTTACATCACCCAGTCAGTGGGCTTTAGTAATAACACCTGTGTAAACTGTGGGCTTTAGTTAATAACAACGTATTGCTGCTGTAACAATGTACCACAATTGCAGCAAATCTACCCATCCCTGCAAAAACACAAACAAGACTCACTGCCACCTAGTGGATGAGGACTTTGACTCACAGTGACTGTAGAACTGGATAGAACTGCCCCCTGTGGGTTTCTCAGCCTGCCACACTTTTTGGAGAGAAAGCCCCGTCTTTCTCCTAAAAGACGTAAATAATTAAAGATACAATGGGAAGTGGGAGTGGATTATACAGGAATCTTTTTTCTGTCTGTACATTTTTTCTATAAATCTAAAACTGCTCTAAAAACCACAGCTTTGAGCACCCTATTTCAATATTACTGGTTTCCTTGGTGGGGCTCCCTGGTGGCGGAGTGGTCACTTGTCTGGCTGAGATCCACATGGTCGGCAGTTCAAAACTACCAGCAGCTCTGGGGGAAGCAAGACTGGGCTTTCTACTCCTGAAAACAGTCTCAGACGGCCACAGGAGGCGGTGCCGAGTCAGCATTGACTCGATGGCAGTGTTTGGTTTGGTTTGTCACTCCATTTAATCTTACACGTTTAAGAAACGATTAGCATACAGTCTCTTCGGACTCTCCCAGATGAGGCAGTGAGGACCCAGGAGAGGTCATGACCCCTGTGGGGGGCAGGCCACCCACTGGGTAGCGTGGACCTAGGACCCCCTCAGAAGTGTTTTTCTTAAATAAAACTTTCCATTGTAATGAGAATCTTCTCCTACACCCTCCTTGCCATTGATTTTGGATCACTTGTTCCCTTGTCCCTGAGTTTGTTAACACCACTTCCTTTCCCCTGCCTCCCCACTCCCATGTCTCCCCCAGAGCCGTCGATCCTGTTGTTTTCTCCTCCAGATTGTGTATTCTGCCTATCATATCTAGATAGACCTGCTGAGATAATAGGCCTGGTAGGACTTGATCAAGGGCAATGTAACTGAGAGGAATTACTGAAACTCAAATGAAGGCTGAGCATGATAGTGGGACAAGAGGAAAGTCCAAGGAAATAGAGAAAGAACTAGGAGGCAAAGGGCATTTATAGAGGTCTAAATACAGGCATGTACATATGTAAATATATTTATATATGACAGGGAAATAGATCTATGTGCCTATATTTATTGGCTCAGTATTAAGGTAGCAGGAGGACATTGGGCCTCCGCTCAAGTACTCCCTCAATGCAAGAACACTTTGTTCTATTAAACTGGCATTCCATGATGCTCAACTTCCCAAAACGATTGCTTAAGACAAAGCAGGTGCATAAGCAAATGTGGTGAAGCTGATGGTGCCCGTCTATAAAAAAATATAGTGCCTGGGGTCTTAAAGGCTTGAAGATAAACAAGTAGCCATCTAGCTGAAAAGCAACAAAGCCCACATGGAAGAAGCACACCAGCCTGTGTGATCATGGTGTGTCAATGGGATTAGGCATCAAAGAACAAAAAAATCATACCATTGTAAATGAGAGGGAATGCAGAATGGAGACCCAGAGAAGAGACCCATCTGTAGCCAACTGGACATCCCCTACAGAAGGGTCTCGGGGAGAGGAGCCAGTCAGGGTGCAGTATAGCACCGATGAAACATACAACTTTCCTATAGTTCTTTAATGCTTCCCCCACCCCCACCCCCACTATCATGATCGCAATTCTACCTTACAAATCTGGCTAGATCAGAGGATGTACACTGGTACAAATAAGAACTGGAAACACAGGAATCCATGACAAATATACTCTTCAGGACCAATAATGAGAGTATCGGTACCAGGAGGGGAAGGTGGAGTCGAAAGGGGGAGCCGATTACAAGGATCTGCATATACCTCCCTCCCTGGGGGACGACAACAGAAAAGCGGGTGAAGGGAGACATCGGACAGTGTAAGACATGACAAAATAATAATTTATACATTATCAAGGGTTCGTGAGGGTGGGGAAAAATGAACGGATACCAAGGGCTCAAGTAGAAAATGTTTTGAGAATGATGATGGCAACAAATGTACAAAAGTGCTTGACACAATGGATGGATGGTGATGAGCTGTATGAGCCCCAATAAAATGATTAAACAAAGAAGTCTTCTCGTGTTCCAGATGCCCTAAAGCCCCCTAGGCAAGGATGGCGAGACTGTCTCCGTCCTTTGGAGCCGCTGTCAGGAGAGACCACCAGCCCCACAGGTGATCCTACTCGGCAAAGCGTAGGGGCAGTGAAAAGCCGAAGACCATGGGGAAGATAGACTGAGACACTGCCTGGAACAATGGCTCAAACAAGAGTGACTGCGAGCACGGGCAGGGCTGGCAGGTTTCATTTGTCGTACGTCAGGTTGTTGGGGTCGGAACCAACCCGGTGCTGCTGCTGCTAGACCAGGGGCCTCACTTGTAGAACCCTGAAACTCAACTGCTGTTGGGTTGATGCCAACTGATGGGGACCCTCCAGGGCAGGGTAGAGCAGCCTCTGTGGGGTTCCGAGACTGACTCTTCACAGGAGCAGACTTGCCTCTCAGAGTAGCTGGTTTTGAATGGCTAACCTTGATATTGGCAGCCGGACACGTACCTAGGCTGGCCCCCTCCAGACTCGGGGAACTCCTAGTCCAGGCAGGAAGCAGAGACAAGACTGGGCAGAAGCTTGGTCAGAGGTGCAAGGTCAAAGGGGAGACATTTGCGGGGGAGGGTGTGTGTGTGTCCTGAAGCATCCTGGGACTGACTGAATCTGTCCCCCAAATTCCTATCAACCTGAAACCTCAGGAATGTGGTCTTATTTGAGATAAGATCTCTGCAGAGGTCATTAGTTGGGCTGGGATGACATTACAGGGGCCCTGGTGGCACTGTGGGTTAGGTGTTGGACCGCTGGGTCGGTGGTTCAAACCCACCAACCACAACTTGGGAGAAAGATGAGGCCATCTGCTCCCATAAAGACTTACAGTCTGGAGACCTTCGATGGTCACTCTCAGTCAAAGTCGACCTGTTGACTTGTGGTCACAGAGCACCCGCTGTCCATCTGTGGCCTCACAATGACCCCACCCTCCAGCCGAATGAAAGCTGGCCCTGCCTGGTCGTTGCTGTCTGAGCGCAGGTCTTGGCTCTGGTGTAGGTCAGTCTCATGCAGGGCGGTTCCTTCTTCTCTGGCTCTAGAACTTACCCACTGGGGCGTCCTCTCCCGGAGATGGGTCTCTTCTGGTGATGCGCCCCAACCGAGTGAGCCCGTCTCACCACCCTCGTGTCCACGGAAGCTTCTGGTTGTTTCTCCTCCATGATCACTCGGCTGGTTCTGACAGCCC